CCCTGGAAAGTTGGAAACCCCCTCAGATAGGTCTCTAGATCTGCAACTGTTAAAACAAGTTCACTGAGGGTTGTATGTACTATTCTATTGTTTTGAAACTTTACAACTAAAAAAGTTGCAAAAAAAAAATACAAATATTTCGTTTATAACCTGATAGTAATGTTACAACTAATTGCTATCAAACTTAGTGTTGTCTTTGTAGGTTTCTTCAATTATTTTCTAGGTAGAAGTAGGGCAGATATTCAAATATTTGAAGACTAAAAGAAAACAATATCATGAAACCAGCTTAAGATTTCAATAATGGTGGACATAGTATTACAATTCTATTACAAATAAACTGAAGAATGATAATATCTCCACAATTTTCTTGTTTTAAATCCCTACGAAATAAACCTTACAATCATATTTTTATTTTCACAGATAGACTAAAACTGTAACCATGGCAACAGCACTGCCAAGGATTGCTCCGATTGGCACACCTGTGTCCCGTGCTGTGTCTAGTCAGCCCCGCTCATTCTCCACCCCTTGCACCCCTTCTATATATGGACCTTACCCACCTAGGGAGCTATCAAGCTCCATGGACCATGTATATGTGCCTGGGAGAATTAACCCCCTTGCTCCTCCTCCATCTAAACGACGTATCAACATGAGTTGGGAAACGTCGGAACAGCATTTACATAATCATAAGAGAAGTCAGCTGATGCAACGACGGGAACATGAAAGATATCACTCAGCCTGGTCAAAGGCGTTTTATGGTTCTGTAGCAGAACAGGAATATTATAGGTAAGTGTTTCATTGGATCATAAAATAAAACAATTCAAATACATGATACTTCAATGATTACGATAAGTACGATGTCAAGTATGGTGGTTTATAAGTGTTCAGGTCTGTAAAACCGTATTTCTTCAACTAATTCAAACTTGTTTGTCTGAAAAATGGTCTAGAACAAAAATTAATTATGGAATGCCATTATTTTTCCTGTTATATAGAAGTTGAAGCAACAAAAAGGAGGTTTTCTGGATTAGAGTTGCTTCCCTTGTCAAGGTAGTCGTCTCTCATTTTGATGCTCTGCAACTGTATAATTCCTAGATAGCAGGATTGGTTTAGTGTAGGGTAGACAATGGAGAGGTCCTGAGTGTGACCTTACAGCTTGAATTTCTTTCGTATTTGTTCTGGATGTTGATGTCAAAATGACATTTGTATATTTTAACTTGAAGGTATACCTTTTGCCTTAAACTAATTAAGATTCTGAAATATCTTCAGAAGGATTTTCCAAATGAACGTTTCTAGGGGAATGCGTTCCGTAAATCTGAACTCAATTTTTAAATATCAAATTTGAAAAATAATAATTAAGTTGTTAAGCAGCGCACATGTACTTCAAGACACAGTGATGAGTCATAATGATTTATGTATAAATCTGATATTGTAAAAAAAATGTTTCATTTAAAAGTCTGTACAAAACACATTTTCTATTTAAGTTTCATTCCTGATATTTCAATGATAATATAAATGTTTAGCGTGGTTGCTATTTTGTACCGATATAGGACCAATTGTTTATACCCACCAGACGACATTCTGAAATCAATTTTAATTTATTCATTGGTAAATCCCCAGGTCCATCGTCTAATGTATCGAATACTTTGTCAACCAAATTTATTGTATTATTCATAGGCATTTGGAACGTTGTAGACCATTTGAATTTAAAACATGATTCAATATGACGCGTTACCAAATGAACATCTTTTCCGAATTCATTATACCTCACATGTTTATTTAAAATTCAATGCCACAGAGTTATCAAGTTTGATTTAGTAAGAAAGTTTAAAACACTATTTAAATATGCAGCGATGTTGAAAAGACTGCTTGGTGTAGATAAATATATCGCCGGGGGGTATATTTAACGTTTTCTTGACATTTGTATTCTTGCTGTGTTCATTGACTTAATATAGCCAAACCCGTGCTATAATTCTGAAGTGTTTGATATATCAAATCTCGACCACTCACAATTCTTATGTAAATGTTCATAAGCAGTGTACTTGATCTTCTATCCGATGTCTGACGCTTCTTATAGTTGCAGTCATAATTTATTGCCATATACAACTATAACGACATTAAAAAACGTCATCGAAAGTTCACAAATTGTCAGTCCAGGGTCAACAGCCATTGTGGGCCGTGATAGGTGAAACAAGGGGGGGATGTAAATGGCATGATAAGACCAGCTAATCAATACGGCCATGTACGGGATCCCGTGGCAGGTGTGAGGGCTAAAGTCTGAGAACAAACATGGTAGCCACCCCGCTACCTAGGGGACAGGTGGTAACGCTAAATATTTCACAGGGTTCTAGTATTAATTCAATAGAACTTATTGTTTTATTATAAAACATCTTTCAATCTTAAGAAAGTATGTCACTCATCGTAAAAGTTAAAAATTGATGGCTGGTTCGTCAGTGTATTACAGTACATTGTATATGTTATCAATGTCCTGTGTAATCACTGGCCGTGTGAAAATGTTAAACGGGACATTGTTTGGACATATCTAATAAGTTTCCTTCTTTCTCTTTCCAACTTTATATCCTTCAGTCATTCCGTCTCTATATTTCCTTAAATGGCATCAAAATATTTGGTAAACAGACTACAATGTTTTAATCCATCAATTTGGTCATCGAGTAAAATACAACCATACAATGAGTTCTCGCTAAAAGAGTTCTAAAGAAGTCCTTTGATGTAAAATATATAATAATGTGTCATATATGCATGATACATATATAAGGTTTGATATCATAATTGATCTGAAAAATATAGGTATATATAGGTAAAAGAACAGTCAACTCATTCAGTCACCCCTGAAATTTCATAATGAACTATTCCAGCCTTTGAAATGGAAGAGTTCAAATGTGTCTTCAGGGTTGAACGAGTTAAATAATTCATTTGTTAGTTACAGGAACTACATTTTTATCATACTGATTTTACTTTATAAAAATTCAAAGACAACCTATCATTGTTCAATTCATATTTCATATTTGTTGAAATATTTTTACATATATATATCTTTTGACTGGGGACTTAAAATCTTCACAGCTTGCCTCACCCTGTTAAGCTTTCTAATCCTGTATTTGTACTGTATACCTGTTCCTTCTGTAGGACCAGGATCTTCTGAGCTATCTTGGATAATAATTAAGTTACCTACAATATTTACTCAGCTTATAATGGTAATAAGAAATTCTACTGTTACCTGTGAATACCAGACTTAATGTATTGTAACCTACCATGTATTTAAACTAATCTGACATGATTCGCGTATGGTTCACCATACATAGCGAGCATTTTAACTTCCAAATGTCTCTTTCGAAGTCTTTGAACTCTGTTAAAGATCAAGAATAAATGATCATGTTATAGAAAAATGTAATGGTACGAATTCTATGGTGTAGATAATGCATTATCATATATTACCATATTGGTTCTAATAATAGCCCATGCCCCCCCCCCCCTCCACTTTTTGGGCAAAATACCTAAAAAAGTTGTTATTTGTAGAATTTTTGAAGATTTTCCTTGTGTTTCTGATATACTGTAGGTTAATTTTGTTTATTATAAAGGACACTTCATATTTATAAATATGACATTTATTGTCCTTGTTGTAGGGAAACACGATTATTTGTTTCCCTGAGATTATGCATGTTTCATGAGGGCAAAGCCAGAGTGAAACAACATTAATTGAACTTGGGTGTGGTTGTACGCAGGTGTAGTACATGCCTCTCCTTCATTTTCCTGGAGAGGCTCTGAATCAAGGATGATATGGCAGAGAAAACTTGCATGAACACAAGAGGGCAACATGTCATTTTATTTCCCCATCATGTGAACAATATAATCCAATCAGACACATGTACACTGTAATATAGATGAGGTTAATAATATTTACTATTATTTGAAGGAGGTACAATAACATTATATCATATTCAGATATCAATTATATATTTTCTGAAAATTGTGGTCAATATTGAATTGCAGTGCTGAAAGAATTAACTACCGGTAGGTAAAAATTAACCCTAAACATTTTATCAAGAATTACTTGGCGGGGGGGGGGGAATTTTTATACCACAATTTCTAATCAATATCAAATAATGAATGGTGTTTTGGTATCAATATCTGGTATTTAATATCTATATAGTATTAACAGTTATCATATTTATACATTTGAAAAGATAGTATAATATCTGCCATGCGGCATTGCCAAGATGATTTGAATAAAATATGGAAGTGGCAGAATTTAATTGTCAGTGTTGAATGGAAACTTCATTGATTATATTGTCTATAAATCAATTCTACAAAATCGATCTTTGAAATGTATGTTATTTTTCATTGTTTCTATAATTTCAATTCATGAATATTTAATTAATATTCATTATTTTTTACACACATTGAAAGTGTATAAAGTATATTGACAATTCTGAGGCCTAAAAAAGATAATTGTGTGTTTCGGTATCACCCTTTGAAAAATCTTTGAAAGGTAGAGGAATATTTTAATTAAGGGTTAGGCTATCAAAAAAAAGGGGCAATAGGGAAACCAGAAATACACAATTCCTTTTTCAAGGTCGAACTATATTTGGTAACTTATATTATTTTATCTGTAGCATTCACAAAATCATTGTAGAGCACTTTAAATTTACACTTCCATATTTTATCATCTGGAAATGGTTTTTATGACTTTTGTATGGTCATGGATATGAAATCTTAAACACGCAGTCACAATTAAGTTGCTATAAATATGTTGAACCTCCCTATTTGTATTTTTCCGAGTCTTATCTGATGATATAAAATCTTGTCTATATGTATGATATCAGTCTATTATCAGAGCATTTTGAGAGACACTCTCCATCAGTCTTATCACTTTTTTCAGCATTTCTGTCCAATTTTTCGTAAATACAATTATCTCCCCTTAATTTGGTTTTGGACCACAACTCTAACATGCCCCAGGGCCGTAATAGTTCTTTCGGTGATTGGAATCCTATCTGACGCCACTGTATTTTTTTTACACTCGATCAGAACAGGGTTAGTAGCTGTTGTTGTTGTTTTTTTCATCTTTATTATTTTCTTTATGCCCCCGCCATAAAATGGGGGGGGGGGGGTCATATAATGTTGCCCATGTCCGTCCCATTCTGTCCTGTCCCATCAAACACTGAAACTAATTTCACATGGTGACAGGGGCGTTCATGTCTTACAGACATTTGCTAGTTTCATAATTGTCCTGCAAGATATGGATTTCTTTTCAGAATTGATTTATCAAAACTTATAGTAGTCATGCTAAGTTTCCAATGCATATAGTTCAAGCTTTTGGTAGTGGTACCAGACAGTTTTTTGGCTAGTTTTACAGCCGAATACAGGCTGTTTCCCCAAGCAAAAAAAGTGTCTTATTTTCCCAAAGTCACCAAAGAGTTTGGAATATCTTCCCAATTTCAGTGAAACTTATGCTATATTTTCCCGATCTTGAAGAAACAGGTTGTTGTAAGATTTAGGTAGAATGAACACTGTACCGTACAGGTGTCTTTAAATGTGAAAAAAAGGAAGAAAATAGAAGATTTGATAATTTATATGTCAGCTTGACCATGTTTATCGTACAATCTCATGTCTCTCTGTATCGTCTTACCCATACCTATCAAGTGTAACACCGATAAAATTCTATTGTTTAATGATATATAATGATCTGAGATTAATTGATATACCGCTGTGATTTAATTTGACAAATCCAGAAACATGGTTTCAGTATGGAACTGTAGTATGTATGCAGT